TACTTTTTCCAATACCTCTTCATTTCTAACATTCTCTATCCACGTTATCCTCATCATGTGCCGGTAACACCACATTTCGAATACTTCTAAACTTTTCTTTTCCGCCGCGCTCACTGTTCATGTTTCACACCCGTACAACGTCGTACTCCAAACATACACCTTCAACAATCTTTTCCAAATTTCTAAATGAAGCGTTCGCGAATATAATGGGAAAAACTTGTTACTTGTTGCTGATGTCACGTCTCTCAGCTTATTGGTAGAGTACCGGTGCGTAAAACCAGGAGGTCCGGGATCGATTCCCGGCGAGGGTGTTACAGCAGCAACATTTTTTGGGGGTAATAGAGAATAGAAGTTAATTTCAGTTTAATGACTAATATTAAATTTTAACCTCTTCAGGAACCTTTTCGTATATATCTATATATTGATAATTAATATAACATAATGATTTTTGGATTCCCTCTTTTCTTGTGCTACCTCCTTAGTGTCAAATGCAAAAATTAAACGCAAAGATCGTACCTTTGTATTCTTTTAGGGTAGAAGCTTAGATTTTCTACTGGAGTATGGGATCATGCACTTCAATGGTTGATCTTAATTTCAACTTGATGCTTTCAGCGTTTTCTCGGAAAAAGGGTCAACGAACTACCATAAAGCTTCCTAATTCACATGCACTCTGAGAAAGGAGGATCTAACTATTCTTGGCATATAAAAGTAAGATTAAACTAAAGTACAACCGAAGGTATGATAACCATAACGACATTTGGATTGAGACATGTCATAGAGAACGACGCGTCGTCCGGGCACGCCAATAAGCGCCGTTTCTCTTTACTCAACTAACAGAACATCAATCATCAATGGTTCAGAGGTATCAGCGTTCGCCTGTCACATACGCGACCCGGGTTCTATTTCTGACCGATGCAAAAAACTTTTTTCTTGATTTATGTTTAGTTATTTTTAAAATTTTAACCAATTTCCATTGTCTTTCGATATGTTTCATTTGTGTATATCGGAATTACAATGCTACACATCTGCCAGGCGTCCCTTGACGGCTAAGTTTCTTTTTTTTACTTTAACGACGCTTCTTATCATTTACCGTTCGGTTCGGTAGAAGTATAAAACGGAAGAATCTGTTATATATATTCCCTTGTTCCGTAAATGCATCTCAGAGACGTAAGTGACAAATTTACGAGATACTTTCGTTATTTACGAGCTGTAAAAGGGTCCTCCCGTTTCCACCATAAACGTAGGTGAAATACATATAAAGTTTCCATGAATAATTTATCTTCGCGGATGATTGTAAATAGAGCTGGCCAGTGTGAGAATCATTCAACAGAACATGGAAAATACGACACTATGCACTTCTTCTCACCTTTTTGCAACTATGTAGGTACTACCTGCATGGTCCATCACTACATTCTATTAACTAAACTCACTGCTTTTCGATAAAGCAGCTGTTTTAGTACTAGGTACAATTTCTAGACACAAAATGAAGTAAAATTTTACTAATGAAGTGTAAAACAATTGATTCATCAATTATTTAACTGGTGTCATCCATTTTTTGATTTTCAATTGTCGCTGCTGACAGCCATTTTTGGTGTTCAATTGTTCTTGCTGTCGGCCATTTTTGATTTTCAACTGTTGATGTCTTCGGTCATTTTGATTCTCAATTGACAAAAATTTACTAATTGTAGGTTTCTAACAATGCAATGGTTTTACTGTTTGAGAGATTAGTAGAATTGTATAAAAATCTAGGAATTAGAGGGTAATTGGCCTGTTGGTGCACTTATTCTACTAGTCATTTTTTTTTAAAGGTAAAAGTTCCCTACCCAAAAAATTTACAAGATAATACTGAACACTGTCGTAACGAAAATTACCTACCAGTTTATATACTGAATATTTATTTGAAATCATAATTTTTTTTGGGTGAGAAATGTATAATCCATTTGAAACTTTATTTTCGGCGAGGCAACAACCGAAAGAGCGAGCAGCGGCGAAAGATCTCTTTCAAAAACTAAAACGTACACACATCCAGACAAGGCAATAAATTTCAACTTTTTCCAAGAGTTCTCGTCTACGAGATGACATTATTTTGCGACCGTTCCTTCGTTGTCGGTAACACGAGAAAATACCGAAAGGAATGGCGACTTTTTACCCCGCTTTATTGCCGTTTCCCCCCCAATAAACATCAGAAGTTTTTCTTGAGTAGGCGAAGTTAATTCTCTGGAAGGAACAATTTTTTATACGAAACTCGGTTACAGTGAGCATTCGCGGTAGTACATTGTTCATTATACGCGATATTAATTTCCTTTCATAATGATATCTTTGACCTTTGACATCGGATGCTTTTACGTTCTTTTTTTGTGCCTAATAAATATATTTAGGTACTAATTAACTCCTTGTAATAAAACAATACCCTACATGTGTGAGAGTGGCTTCTATTGGTCCAGGGGGTAACAGAAGGGTATAAACTAGATGAAATAAATAATAGCATAATGAGTTCTGCAGCGTAGTGAAGGAGAATTTTTTTTAAGAAAATTACAGTAATTTAAAATTCAAAGCCGGCCCTGCGCGTGCATTCGTTATATAGATGTCTGCGATAAAAACTGCAGCTACATGGATTGAGACTGAAAATATTGCGATTTACATATAATGTTTAGACTAAATGAATTACATAAGTGTATTACAGACAGCACTATGTAAGTATACGATCACAAAATAAAGATAAAATGTAAGTTACATAAACATTAGTCGGAAAATTCAGAATTCCGTCTTGCGTGAAGCAAATTTCTCTATAAACAATACTCTATGGAAAAAAATAGCAAAAATAGCACTTTTCTTGCGGAACCACCGACACATAGCTTGAACTCGCTGCAAATGATACGGATGCAGCAATCGTTCCTTTAAAATTTACCACACTGTTAAATGAGCTAACGTTTTGGGGATTATCTTTTTTGAAATTCAGGATTTCGTCCCCACAAGGGCGATATGGTTTAAATCCATAAATACGTATGTTATCACGTTATTGTAACAACAGCTGTTCTACGGCGACTGACCTACATTAAACATTGATGTTATATTGCTGAATACGATTATTGAGCTGTACAGTGAACATCGATTGCCTCAGGCAAGGTTTAAACGTTAAAAAAATTAACGGCTAATAGAGATTGGTTGTTACCATAAATATCCTGAGACACTAAATCTAATCTAACAATTGAACAATGCATAACCAAAAATATACAAAACATATACAGGCCTGACGCTGGAAGCTGGCGGAAATTTTAAAATGGCGTGGATGCGCGGTGGCCAAAGTTGGCAGTTTTAGGTATAAAGATTGCAGCCCTCATTCTTCAGTATTCCTATCAGGGACGTAGATTAAATATTTAAAAATAGGAATCAGTGAGCAAGCAATAGACAGACAAACAGAAGAACTAATTGTTGATGTTGGTGACAGTGATAGAGATTCCCGTGATGAGAGTGAATGTGAAAAATAACTATAAAACGAAAGCAATAGGTTAATTTTTTCTTTTTGATAAGTCCTGTTTTTACATTATTTTCTAGTACGCTACTATCCTATCTGTATTAATACTATAATTTACGCCTACTGAAAGCTTATTTGCGTATCGGTTCCAAGTGACCTACCCAAATAGGTCATAAATGAGCAAGTACCTGCGCGACCGCTCGCCAGCTTCCTTCGTCAGACCTGTACTACACTGATGGTGGTAAACACCAGCATATTGAGTGCAGCGTTGCGGGCCGTATTTCTTTCCCAGGGCCGGAATTTAATTTACGTGTACTTTCAACTACGTTTTTCTCGAAAATGGTGAACAATCGGACAATATTTCTATTACATCCTGTATTTAGTAATTGTGCTGTCCAGTCTGTTGAGTTTCATTATAGTGAATTTGCACGATATAAAGTTGATTTTCTTTTTTGTGAGAAACTTTTAAAACTCCTGTTAGTTAACTCGGTATACTTTACGACGCTTTTTTGTTTTGATTTGGTGCATCGTAACAAATTCCCTCGCGAATTCTACCCAGTTTCGTTAAATAGCGACAAAGTCGAAAAGTTTTTCACTCCTTAAGTAAACAACCCTGCCATAAAGGAAGTGTACTCTCTTTTAAGGATTAAATGACTCATTTTAAGGTCATTCGGAATGATGGGAGTTCACTTTTCTCTACAGAAAACGGACACAAGCAAATAAAACGACTCTAATTTATGACAACAAGAACACAGAAAAGCTTGCAGAAGGAAACGAAAGGCCCATGAACATTTTCGAAGTTAGTTCGTTGAAAGTTTCAAATGAATAAATTTAATTACAATTAGGTACTACCAGTTCAGCTTTTCACTGCAAAGTACTCAAAAACTAACGAACGGTAAACCCAATCCAATGATACTCGTAAAAACTACCCGACTAAGTAAATACAAACCGTTTTGCAATTGTTTCATATTTTTCTCCATAAAAGAGTTTGAAAAATTCCCTTGTGCACTCATAGGAATTGATAAAAGAATTGGATTTATTTAAGCACTATTTAGCAATTTTAAAATCAATGGGAATATTTGAAAACAATAGAATTTGAAAACTACTTTTTTAGAGATCGTTAAATAAAACTCATGGTTAAATTTTACGTTAACACACCTTTACCAATGATAAGTCAGTAAGATAAGACATTTTTAAGAATGTTTAAGTTATTGATTATATCGACTTAGATCTCATCAGCGCGCCATGGTCTCAATAAATTACTGACTAACCTAAAGATATTACTGAAATACCTTAGCAAGGTAACGCCATTTCTAATGCTTGAAATATCCACTAGATGGTGACACACTGTATTTGCCTACTACAAGACTTAATCTTTACAATTTCCAGTATATTATTTGAAGAAGAAGAAAAATTAAAACCACGATAAGTGGAAAAAAAACAAATTGTTTAACCAACAATCAACTTTTTGTTAGAAAATCGTAAAAACAAGTTTGAGTAAGATAACTACAAAATTAAAACTCACCTGAGGTTCAGATGCGAGGGATCCATGGTAGAAGTCGTTGGCTTGAAGGGAACGTTTGTGGACACGTCTGTGTTCGAACAAATAGAAGTTTTTCAGGCTACCAATCTGAAATAAAAAATAAAAATTAGGCTGATCTAAAAGAAAATATACCTACACACAAACATTATATGCGTTTCATCCCCTACTGCGTTTAATCACCTGCCATATATTTACATTAACCAACATCAAAACAAACCCGAAAGTAATCGTTAATATGACACTAAATAACCCAAAATTAAAAAAGAAAAAAGATTGCATCAGTCAGGAATGGAACCCGGACTGATCGCGTGTCATGTGGAGACCGTACCACTGAGCCAACTATCGGCTGTTCAAAGTAAGGTTAGGTACCGATCAGAATCCCAATAGAGATGGAGTCAGTTGTTAAGTTCTCAAAACGACCGAGCTTTCAGCATAATATTTAATATGGCTATTACCCAAAACTCTTTCAAATAAACATTAACAGCAGACACACAGACACATCGTTTGTTATTTTTCTATTTCTGTGAATCAGAAAGAGATCAAGAAACCGCTACACGCAACATCGTCATTATATTTACTATGTTCTTCGGCGGAGATCAACTGAAAATATTGTGACGGAGTGACTTGGGGGTTTTGGAGGTGGGGGGTATCGGAGAGGTAAATTACGACCTCACATTAATCATAATCACGGAGGAATAGCCAGCGGCGTTATTATCCCTAATCCGCCCTGACTCGGAAACGGTATTCGCCTATTAAAGCTGCGGCAAAATTTAATTCAAACTTCCAAATTGCCCAAATTAGTGTATGTACGTACACTAGACGCAAGGAAGCCCCATAAGCCGCCGCGCTTGTTATCAAACATCAACTTTGTACTGTTTCTTCAACACGGAAATTGGAGTGTAACTTTTGCAATTACGCCATGCAGCCTATTACAAATCGATCTTTGTATCGTTGCAATATAAACCAACAACAAAAATCGGAAAGTAGAAAAGGTTGGAAATGAAGCGATACGAGATCAAAAGGAGCTATGAATGTTAATAGAAAGGAGAGGTAGAATCGTAGGGCACCTTGAGAATTGCAGAAATTGATTCAAGATAGGAAGAAATACAGGTGCTTGTCTACCTAGCCTTCGGACAAAAAAATTTCTGATGATGATGACCTCGTTTCGGAGGGAGGAGAATAAACTCTTAAAACACCATACCATATTCACGTTATCTGTATTTCTTTGGGTCAATATGGAAAGGTAACAAGGTCTGTCGGAGCTCTGTTTACTATAGGGTTGTTCGGAAAGTCATTTCGTTTTTTTTTTGTGGAAATGAAAGAAGTTTTCGTATAATAAACAAATACTTTATTAAATTATATATTGACCGTTCTGGTCCAACACCTTTTGCCATCTTTCTGGTAGTAGCATAATTCCACGCTCATAAAATTTTTGGTCTTTGCTGGCAAAAAACTGATCGAGGAGGTTTTTGACCTCCTCATTTGAGGTGAAGGTTTTACCGTCTAAAAAATTTTGGAGTGACCGGAACAAATAATAATCCGATGGTGCCAGGTCTGGAGAATATGGTGGGTGTAGCATTGTATCCCATTCAAGCTGTAAAAGCTTTTGGCGAGTGACCAAACTTGTGTGAGGTCTCGCGTTGTCTTGGTGAAACACTACACCTTTCCTGTTGATTAGTTCTGACCTTTTCTGTTGAAGTGCATCATTCAGTTTGTCCAGCTGATGACAGTAGACTTCCGAATTAATCGTTGTGTTATCCGGTAAAAGCTCAAAAAAAACGATTCCTTTAAAATCCCACCAAACAGACAGCATCACCTTTTTTTGGTGAATATCGGCTTTGGAAATGGTTTGAGCCGGTTCATCTTTTTTGCTCCATGACCTCTTGCGTTTGACGTTGTTGTATACAACCCATTTTTCGTCCCCAGTGATGATGCGCTTCAAAAACGGATCATTTTCGTGACGTTTGAGAAGCGAATCGCAGACGTCAATGCGGCGACACAGATTTCTCTCTGTGAGAACATGGGGAACCCATACATCGAGCTTCGAGGATAATCCCAGGCCTTTCAAGTGGTCATAAACTGTTGAATTTGATAAATTTAACCTCAATCCGATCTCACGTGTTGTTATTCGCCGGTTCACATCAACTAATGCCTTTATCGCGTCTTTATCAGCTTCAACCGGCCTTCCCGAACGTGGTGCATCTTCGACATCAAAATTGCCGGATCGAAATTTAGCGAACCAGTTCTGGCACTGGCGTACTGTCAACACACCTTCTCCATACACATCAGTCAATTTCTTTCTGGCTTGAACAGCATTTTTACCCTTTCTGTAGTAAAACAGTAAGATATGTCGAAAATGCTGCTTATCGCTCTCCATATTTAAAAGGGCACCAACCAAAAACTACTGCGTAGAATTAATTGGAATTTTTCACACACAAGCCTTGCTATATGAGCTCTCAAAGCATATAAAAATTGTACGGCTTAAATGTGAAGTTGGGTGCAAAAGAATACAATTAAATCCTCTGTCGGGAAAAAACGAAATGACTTTCCGAACAACCCGATATTACTCGCTACTTGTAATGCAAAAAAAACCACTCTGAGTTTGTATTGTTGGGACATTCACAATTGGCATAGTTTGCAATAAAACTTTTGCATCTAACTTTCTTCATTCAGCTAGAGCCGTTGCTGACAGAACGCCTACTTTTACTACTAATATCGTAAACGTAGAAAAGAGATGTCAGATAGGAATTGCAACGGACACTAATAAAGAAAAAAGAATAACATTACACCAATTAATGTGTAACAGACAAAGATGCAGACAAGTAAAATTTGAGCATGTTGCCATTCACTTTTTTAAACGAGATGTAAAAGAAAACAGCTAAGAACATTTCAAAAATTTGTATATTATTTGTGTAAGACGGGAAAATACTAATGTCAATTAGGTACCCAAAAAAAAAGCGCCGGTTTGTTTTGTTTTCGGCTATTCAATAATATTAAAAAGGAAATTTCGTTTTGTCATTCAGCCAACAGGACAGATCGATATGGAAGGACATCAAAACCGCGTTTGTCGTCCGTCTTCCGTTTCCTAACCTATTCCTTGTTGTTAAACAGAAACAATGGGAGCGAAAAGGAAGTGAAATTATCGGATCTCCTCCTGATTAAAAGGTTGCGAATGATTAAAGGGAACGATCTGAGTTAGCTTCTAGTCAAGATATCGGAGACGAGACAAGAAAAAGTATTTTGCGATAACAAGAAAAAAGAAACTTAGATTTCAAGGGCTTTTCCTTGCCATCCTGTTGTCGCACGGACGTTTTCTCCTTAGAGAATATTAGAAAATATTTTCCAAGAATTTCCTTTGAAGATAATTCAATTAATAATGTTTGTTTGTAAATTAAAATGACGAGCTTTATCCTGCGATGTTTGGTTTATATTATAATCGGATCAATTTATTGTAGCCCAGGTAAATATAGATTATCTCCAGGGATATATTGCAGGAAAATGAAGAAGATAAGGTTCCTAAAAGCCTTTCCATAAACTTGTAATTAGCAGAAAAACCAGATCCAATTTTTCCCCTTATTGTAATGCGTAAAGAATCAAAGCCAGAAGAAAAAGATCGTAAATAAAAAAAAACTACTTTAAAAAGGAATGTTACATAATTGTTCAGCAATTACATTATTTGTAACCATTCTCTGACTTTAATTTTATTACACATTTAAAAGAACTGTTACGAAAAATTAGGATTTATATATACTGAGAAATAGGAGACTTATTGTAACGAACAAACTTATTCGGTTGAAAATGATTACATTAAAAGTATATGTTTGGAGTACGACTCCATAGACGATGACCGGTGAGTAAAAAATTTAGAAACACTTGATATTNATGCCAGGCAAAGCAAAAATAGCTTTAATAAATAGATACCTATTTGTTTAATCAATTAAAATACGAATCCGAAAGTAGAGATTAGATAAAAGAAATCGGACAAAAAGTTTGTTGCAAAGGCAGGATTAAACTGTCCCTTTACTGGCAACGATTCCAAAAATGATTTATATATACTGAGAAATAGGAGACTTATTGTAACGAACAAACTTATTCGGTTGAAAATGATTACATTAAAAGTATATGTTTGGAGTACGACTCCATAGACGATGACCGGTGAGTAAAAAATTTAGAAACACTTGATATTTGGTGTGATAGGGGGATGCTTTACCCCAATGACTGCCATCATTAAAATTTCAGTCAGTTGTAGGTACTCGGAAGGGATATTACAATATGGTGATATTCCGTTGTCTTCCACATTGCAGTGTTGTACATAAGAGTAAGAGTAAAAATTTCCATGGTTACAGAACTATTAATTAAAATTTGGAAAATATTTTTTTTACAGACGCCATCAACATCATTAAAGACAGGACAGCTGTAGGGATAGATGTGCAAGGGCAAAAGGTTAGTATGTTTAGATTTGCAGATGATATAGCAGTATTAGCATCTAGCAAGAAGGACCTAGAGATAGCTTTAAATAAAATGGAAGCGATACTGACAGATCAGTACTGTATGAAAATAAATAAAAGTAAAACTAAAATACTGATATGCAAGGGAAGAAAAAGTAGGGAAAGAGCGAATATAAAGATAGGAGACGAAAAATTAGAAGAAGTGGCTGATTTTAGATACCTAGGAAGTCAGATAAGTGAGGATGGAAGGAGTAGTAGGGATATAAAGCAGAGGATAGCGCAGGGTCGTGTCGCCTTTAATAAAAAGAAGTCACTTCTATGCTCGCGAACGGTTAATTTAGAAATTCGAAAAAGGTTGTTAAAGGTGTATGTTTGGAGCACGGCGTTGTACGGGTGCGAAACATGGACAGTGGGAGCGGCGGAAAAGAAAAGGTTAGAAGCGTTCGAAATGTGGTGTTATAGGCGGATGATGAGGATATCGTGGGTAGAAAAGGTTAGAAATGAAGAGGTATTGGAAAGAATAGGAGAACAGAGGACTCTATGGAAGTCATTAAAAAATAGGCGAGATAGGTTGGTAGGACACCTTCTTAGGCGTGGAGGTCTAGTCAGAGACATATAAGAGGCAGAAACAGGAGTTAG